ATCTTCCTGTCTGTCTCTCCTCTCTGTATATCCGCCTTTCCAATAAAAAAATAATAAAAATAAAAATAAATCTTTAAAAAAAAGTGTAAAGGAAATACTTTCTAAAGTTAAGACAAGAGTCTGGTTTTTATAACATTTACATTGGCACTCTGTGCCAAAGTTCCCTATTCCACGTGGAAGGCAAAATAGAAATAGTTGGGTTTCAGGGAGGATCATATTAGATGAACAGTTGAAGGTAACCACAAGCACTAGAAGATGTGCCTGTTTAGTATTGGAACTTACTTTAGAAAACCAGATGCGATGGTTGAAACTACAGAGAAAAATGTGAACCTGACACGGGGGTGTTTTCTTTCCTGACCAGCAGGTGCGAAGCATATGACTCAAGGAAGGTACAAAATAGCAGGGACAGGGAAGAATCACCCTGAGGGGTGGGGAAGAGGAGTTACTGGCACCAAGAGGGAGATTTGATCTGCCCCTCTCCACAAGGACTCCTCTGATACTTGAGATGTAAGGTGACATTGAGCTGTTCAAGGACTGGACAGGTGTGCTAAAAACTGGCCAGCATATCTTACTCAGGGCACAGGAATCTTTCCGAACTCTCACTGTTCTCTAAAAATCAGGGAGAAACTAGCAAGAGATTTGCTGACTTCAGGTCATAACAGTTGAGTCTTTAAGTATTATGAATATTGCTTAAGTAATTGGAATCAGCTGAAAAATAGGTGGCACTGGCCTTGATTTCTGGCTACTTTGAATTTATCTGGACTCGCCAAGACTTTTTCCACCTGTCCCTCTTTTTCTAATCTCTTTCATGATTCCATTAACAGTGGTCTCTCAGGCCCACCAGAAGGTTCTGGTATCCAAGCTGTACCTGGTTTTTCCTTAGTTTTCCCTCCCTACCTTCCTGCTGCCTTCTTAACGTAGTTAAAATTCTGTTTTGATTGTGTTTTTGACAGTTTGTTGTTTGTGATATCCTATAGTTGGATCGCCCTGCCTGGTTTCTCCTTTATAGTCAATTTTCTACATTACTACTCCAGTGCTGCTGTGTCCATCTTGTTGTTAGAGTTGCAGATCCTGCTGGTGTTTCTGGACTGTCTCCTGCAGCTGCCCCACCAGCATGCTGCAGTTCCACGGTGCTGTCCACCCATTGCAACAGAGGTTCAAATCCTACCCTGAGCATTCTGAGACAGACATGAGCAGCACGTGCAGGTCATATGGCAAGCAGGAAGGGCATAACCAGCAGTTCAAAAAGCACATGGGTACAAAGTCCCAAGGACTGGTGCCATCCTCTGCTGTTTTCCTAAGCCGTAAGTGCAGGGAGCTGGATGGGAATTTGAACAGCTGGGACATGAACAAGTGCCAATATGAAATTCTGACCATGCAAGGGGAGGAATAGCCAGTTAAGCCATTCATGAAAGGTCCAATACACATGGATCTTAAAAGAAATGAAGCTCAGGTATGTGGCACAGTGGGTTAAGCCACCACTTGGGATGCTCTCACCCCACATCTGAGCGACTAGGATTGAGTCTTACCTGTACTACTGATCCAGCTTCCTTTATTGCACCTTGGAAGCAGCAGGCAATGGCTCACATACTTGAGTTTGCTGCCCGAGGCGAGACTTGCCGCCCACAGGGGAGATTTCTGCCTTTGGCTTGGCTGTTGCTGAAATTGAGGGAATGAGCCAGCAGATGGAAGCATACTTCCTTACTACTGCTCTCCCTTTTACTGAAAAACAGAAAGAGAAGGAGGGAAGGAGAGATGAAGAGAGGGAGGCAGAGATTGGGGTGGGCTGGTGAAGGAGAGAGAGAGAGAGAGAGGAGAGGAGAGGCAGGGAGGAAGGAAGTAAAGAGGAGAGGTTGGGTGAGGAGAGAAGGGTAAGGGAGGGGAGAGGAGAGAGGAGGAGAATGAGAATTTTTTTCCTAACTATTGTTTTATTATAGTAGAATATAGAATTTTATCTTTTTTGTCTTCTCAGTTTTATCATTGTTTCTTAGTATGTGCATTATTTACAATACAGAAAACATGAGAATCAGTTAGCGGAAAGCACAAGCACAGCAAACGAGCCCTTGTTTTCTCTGGGTCTTGAGGACGCCTTCCAGCCTCCCTCAGTACAGTTACCTTCTCATAGTGCTCCAGTCACTGCTTCCACCCCTCCCTTGCTTGGGGTTTGTCCTGGTTTTTTGTTTTGTTTTTTGGGTTTTTTTCACTACAAGTTAATGTGTCCTGTGTATTGTCTGTTTCTTGCATGGATTCCCCAGGGACCAGGATTTGTGTGTGCATCTTCTCTACCACATTTCCTTGCATATGAGGGACACACACCAAGGACCATGTCCAACTCTGTGGGACAGAGTCATTCAGAGGGTCTTCAGAAAGCTTATGGAAAATGCACTTAAAAAGAAACAATGGGGCCCGGCGCGGTGGCGCAAGTGGTTAAAGGTCCTCGCCTTGCACGCCCGGGATCCCATATGGGCGCCGGTTCTAATCCCAGCAGCCCCGCTTCCCTTCCAGCTCCCTGCCTGTGGCCTGGGAAAGCAGTCGAGGACGGCCCAAAGCTTTGGGAACCTGCACCCACCCGCGTGGGAGACCCAGAAGAGGCTCCTGGCTTCGGATCGGCATAGTATCGGCCCGTTGCGCTCACTTGGGGAGTGAATCATCAGACGGAAGATCTTCCTCTCTGTCTCTCCTCTCTGTATATCCGCCTTTCCAATGAAAAAATAATAAAAATAAATCTTAAAAAAAAAAAAAAGAAACAATGCATGGATTTCAAAGTGGGGTTTTTTTGCATTAAATTAACTATCCTTTAATTCCATTTTTTTTCTCTAAACTTTTTGTACTATCAGATGAGTTGGAAATGTAGGAAGCTCTGACAAGCAGAACTAGCAAATCAGGTTGGAACAAGGGCCATTGAAAGTCCAATTTTGATTTTTGAAATTTATGGGGTAGAGACTTGTGAGTCATGCAGTTTTTCGGTTGGAATGGTGCATTCTGGAAAAATTAGCCTGACCTAGTGAGGAAGGGAGGCAGGAAGCTGAAATTGGAATCTACAATGGGAGTCAAGGAGCTGGGTGAAACACTTGTCCTGGGTGACTGTTATGCAAGTAAGTAGAAAGCGACATCCTGCCTTAGAGCAGTTACCTAAACATGACTATCTTGAATGTTGGTAAAAGACTGGAAAACCTACTGTAGCAGAGTGAATCACAGGAGCACCAGTCAGGCATCTCAGAGAACTAAGTGGATATTCTAAATGTCCTAATCAGCAGCAGTAGCTAGTTGTAGAGTGCACTGGAATGTGAATCCCTTTGTGTAAGTATGTGCTTAAATACATGTATACTGATATGCTAGACTCATCTGGAAAATATACAAGACTATTAACGTGCTGAGAGATTTATAGAAAGTTACTCACTGGTCTTTACTATGTCATGCAATCCTATGCTGTTTGATTATTGTTCCATGAGCATGCATTGTTTTATAATTTAGTAATCCAGGTAAAATATATTTTACAAAAGGAATATCAAGGCTGTGCATTTGATTACTAAAATCATTTCAAATCTGTTACCTAAAAAGCTCTTGACACACAAAGTATGAACACTGAAATCTGAGTACAGTTAAGGGGTTGACTAAAAATCTGATGATGTGACTCTTAGCTGAGGGACAGTAACAATTCAAGTAGGTTTGGAAGGCCTGAGCTGAAATTGGAGATTTCCTCTTAATCAATAACAACACTACTGTAGTACTCGAATCTACCCAGAGTCAGACAGCATCTTCTGATGAATGAGTAATGGACATTGATCATCCATAGCCTGTGATCTCCTGGGAAAAGGTTGAGGTTTAAAATCAAGGTGTTTTTCACACAGCTGCAAACACATGTTCCATGCTTCCTAAGTCAAAAACTATGATTGCATTTGCCAAAAAGATTAAAAAAAGAAAAAAACTCATAAGAAATCTGGCATTAAAGACTTGCTGCTTGGACAGATGTCTGACCTGGTAGTTACCACACTGATTGGGATACACCCATCCCATTTTGCAGGGCCTGGGTTTGTGTCCTGGCTCCTCTCCAAATGCAGCTTCCTGCTAATAACTGCCCTAGGAAGCAACAGGTAGTGACTCTAGTAGCTGGGTCCCTGCCATCTGCTTGGGAGCAGGATTGGGTCCCAGGCTCCCAGCTTGCAGCCATTTGGGAAGTGAACTAGCCAATGGGAGCTCTGTCTGTATGTCAATCTTTCTTGATTTTTCAGTTTCTCAAATAGATAATTTTAAATATATATATACACAATATATAAACTATATATATACAATATACAAACTATATATTGTTTTCAAGAACTTTTTGGAAAGATTTGTTACTTTTTTCCAAAAAGATTTATTATTATTGCAAAAGAAGATTAACAGATAGAAGGAGAGACAGAAAGATCTCCCATCTGCTAGTTCACTCCCCAAATAGCTGCAATGGCCAGGGCTGAGATAATCTGAAGCCTAGAAATTCTTCTGCGTCTCCCACACAGGTGCAGTTTCCCAAGACTCTGGGCCATCCTCTGCTTTACCAAGCCACTAGCAGATCTTCCATTTGCTGGTTTATTCTCCAAGTGACCACAGCAATCAGAGCTGGACCTGTTCATAGCTAGCATCCAGGAGCTTCCTCAGACTCTCCTGTATGGGTACACGGGCTCAGGGCCTTAGGCCGTCCTCTACTGGCTTCTGAAGCCATAACTAGGGAGCTGGATTGGAAGTGGAGCAGACAGGACTCAAAATGTTGCCCTGTTGGCACTGCAGGTAGAGGATTAGTCTGTTAACCTCTCTACATCAACCCCAATGATGCTTCAAAAGTAATTTTCTGAAAAAGTTGTGCAAGTAGAAGTGAGCTGAATCCAAATCCTTCTCTATTGTGTCGAGTTTGTGCATCAAAAATAAGACTCTGTGTTGTTTGAAAGATGAGAATCAAAATATTCTTTGAACATATAGATGCTGCTGTCATCTTAACTTTATTATTATTAATGCTTTCCCAGGTGCCAGTTCAACGGACTCTGACAGTGAAAGTTTGGCTTTCAAAGCAAAGACTGGAGCTATGCCACAGTAAGTGTCCCTGAGTTGGTCAGTTATTTGTACAACAAAGAATGGCAGCAGAACAGTGGTGGGGAGGGCTGTGTATCAAACCAGCGTGCTGTGTTTGGATGGAAAATTTCAGCTGAAGTCCATCTGAAATCAGATATTTCAGGCTAAAACATAATTTTTAACTTTAATTTAACCTTTTAAGTTCACGTTTCACCACCAAATTGCCAGAATCTAACCATGTGCTGTGTTAGTTTCACAGATGGTTATTTGATTGTAAAAGTATGAAATGAGCAAACTGAAATAAAAGCAATTACATCATTACTGAAATGTAAATAAGGATGTAAATATTTAATTAGGAAATCTGTTTCTAGTTAGATCATATGCTTGAAAATGGCAAAATGCAGTTATTCCTACACAGATGCATGGAATACTAATAAAATGTAAGTATCTATAATTCTATAAAAATAAAACTGAGAATAGTTGTATAGATGACTCTTTACATTGAGAATTTGTTTCTGAATTGTTTAATCACAGATTTAAAGGGAATTATAGAAGATTATTTTAATTTACCATAACTTGTTTTGGACACGAGTTCAAACTTGGTGATGACACGTGACTCACTTCAGTACAGCCAACTGCTTGGCAAATTAGGCCTAAAAACCAGCTCTTCCTAATCTTTTCCTTCCTCCTCACATGTATGTACTAAGAAAACACAAACTGCCTACAAAATAAGCAACCAGAACAAAGGCCAAAGGCTAGGCTTAAAAGTAGACAAGCAAAATTTTTGAGTTAATACAGCGCTCTCTCCGTCAAGATTTCAAGTATCTGTTTACTGATAAAGATTTGACTTTTTACAACTGTGAGTTTTCTGTTAGGATTTCCAGTTTAGTGCTGTAGAATCTTGAACAATGTGCCAGTTATCCTGAGCAGCTTGTCTTCCACCACGTGTTTATTTTGCTCGATGTCTTTAAGACACAGCATCTACATGTACTGATGGCAACTCTTCCGGTCATAGATTTGTGGGTTCCCATTTCGGAAGTAATTGCATGAGGTGGATTGAGTATACAAAAAGAAACCTACCTCTCATGTCAAGTGTTTCAGTGAGATAAGTCCTGACTGCACACTTGTCCCTGTTTTCCAGAGCTCAAAAGAAAACGACTTCTGTTTCCTTAACCATTGGATCATCATCCCCAAAGACAGGCGTGACTACAGCCGTCATCCAGCCCCTGTCTGTCCCTGTTCAGCAGGTCAGTGTGCCTTGGGCCAGGACCGGGAGGGCTTGATTTCATCAGTGGATCTGCTGGCTTGAAAGCTACAACTTTGGTTTTAATTAGTGCTTCCCCTTGAAATGTTTTCTGAGTGGAACACAACTGGGAAAAAAGAAAATAGTAAGTAATGCTTTTTTGTAGTCTACTAAAATTAATTTGTAATCCAAACCATACCACCAATTAGTCAGTTTGTGCTTTTCCATTGGGAACTTTTTTGTAACAGACAATAATATAAAAGCATGTCTGTTGTGGCTATGACTATTTGATTAATCTCCCACATACGCCCCCTTTGCATTTAGTCTAAACAAATGAAAAGGTAAGTCCAGTAAGTCCACATGCCATCAAAAAAGCTTTCTCATCCTTAAAAGCTATGCAAACAAAAAAGTAATTCAAATCCCTTCATTTCACTATGCTTTTTCATTTTGTTTTTTAATTTGCTCTTATTTTTTGTGAGACTACTTTATCCGAAAAAGAACAATAATGCAATCTGCTGGAAAGCCATTATAGTGAGTGTACTGTGCAAAAGCAAACAAGACAAATTTAAAAGAAAAGTAAAAATGTGCTATCGGGACATGTTTAGTCTAATAAGCTAGACATCTGTGGCCCACATTGGAGTACCCGGGGATTCAATTCCCAGCCCCAGCCCCCAACTCCAACTTCCGGTGAATAGAGTCTGCGGAGGCAGTGGTGAGGATATCAGTAACTCAGTTCCTATCACCCATGTGGTTCCAGGCTCCCAGGTTCAACCTAGCCCATTCTCATCTGGAGCAGGTATCTGGAGCATGAAGGATTGGATGGCAAATTGGTTCCTTGCCATCTCCATCTCCTCCTCTCTCTCCTGTTCATCCCCCTATTCCTCACCCTGTCCTTGACCCTCTCCTCAAATATCTCTGTGTCATGAAGATATAACACTTATGTTCAAATGTATATTCACAGAAGAATTCTTACCTATTAAACATTTATGGGTATTTTAGTAACTGAAGTAGATAATACTCCGATATATAGAAAATGCGGACAATAGGAAAAAGATTAGAATTCATTAGCTTGAGAAAAATTGACAATGAGTTACTCAGAGACATATGTCTACACACACACACACACACACACACATACGTATATACATATATGTATGTAGTATATTTTCTTTAAACCCTAAACAGAAACAGAATTTATGGAAATAATTCTGATTGAATCAGTGGACTTGCTCAGTTTGTGTTGTTTAAGCATTGGTAAGTTTTGAGACTAGACTTTAAAAAAAAAAAAAGATTTATTTATTTTTGTTGGAAAGTCAGATTTACAGACAGAAGGAGAGACAGAAAGATTTTCCATCTTCTGGTTCATTCCTGAAGTGGCAACGGTGGAAGGAGCTATGCTGATCCAAAGTCAGGAGCCAGGAACTACTTCTGGGTCTTCCATGCGAGTTCAGTGTCCTAAGGCTTTGGGCCATCCTCAACTGCTTTCCCAGGCCAAAGCAGGGAGCTGGAGTAGCCGGGACACAAACCAGATGCTCATATGAGATCGCAGCACATGCAAGGCGAGGAGTTTAGCCACTAGGCTATCACACTGGGGCAAAGACTAGACTTTTTAGTTCAGGAATAAAAAATAGATCACAGCTCATTCCCAAATAATTTATAAATGCTTGAGAAGCAGGTAGTAGGCACATGATCTATTTCTTGAATGTGGCAGAATATGGCAGGGTATAACACAGATCCCTATGAACTGAAAGACTTTTGTGCCTCTGATTATAAGAAGTGCATTTTCGAATACTTTCAAAGGTGATGTGTCCCACTCCTCCAGTTGGGAGAGTGGCATGCTCTAAGGGACTCTACACTTTGTTATTACTGACAAATGGTCGGTACTGACCGATGGTATTACTGATATAAGTGGTCCCATGAGTGAGAAGATGATCTCTCCATGCCCAGTTGCTTCGCCTGTAAGATGAGGATAATGATGCCACCTGTCTCACAGGAGCTGGTCTTCCTGTGATACTTAGAACAGGGCCTGGTGCCAAGGAAGTCCTTGAAAGTGTTCATGCCTTATTTGGACCTTGAAAGGCCATGCAAAGGTGAAGTCCAGACCCCCCTGCATCACAAGCTAGTAAAAAATGTCTCCCGGAGACGGTGAGTCAAGTCTCTCTTAGCATCTCCAGGATCTCTGTGGTCTCCTGTGGTGTATTTAAACACACAGTGTTGGATCAGCTTCCTTCTGGATTGGGAGAGCCACCAGAGTAAGTGAATAAATAGATTGTTTGAAAATAAGGAATTGTGTGCTTGCTTTGGCAGCATTCCCAGAACCAGTCAGGGAAGATAAGTGTGGCCTATGCCAGGATGACTCGCACATTCGTGAAGCTATCCATATTTTTTCCACTGAATTACATCATGTACATGATAATATCCCCATCTTTCCCAATGTTGTGATGACTGTCATGAATCTCTCAGTGATTTGATTATCCCTGTTTTCAAGAAAAAAAAAAACAGTATAAACATGTGTAGTTATAATGTCTACGTATGACATGAGTGTTAAATTTTAGGCCCAGTATGGTAACCTAGTGGCTGAAGTCCTCACTGTGCATGCCCAGGATCCCATATGGGCTCTGGTTCGTGAAATGGCAGCCCCACATACTATCCAGCTCCCTGCTTGTGGCCTGGGAAAGCAGTCAAGGACGGCCCAAAGCCTTGGGACCCTGCACCCACATGGGAAACTCGAAAGAAGCTCCTGACTCTTGGCTTCAGATCAGCTCCAGCTCTAGCCAGTGTGGTCACTTGGGGAGTGAATGAGCGGATGGAAGATCTTTCTCTCTCTCTCCTCCTCCTCTGTATATATGTCTTTCCAATAAAATAAATAATTAAGTCTTTAAAAAATTGTTGAATTTTAAAATTAAAACCAGACTTAATTTAAAAACTAAATAGACAATTGTACGCAGAGAAATATTTTCTGTCCACTGTTGTGAAGTCCTCATAGTTCCCCACAAATGAATGCCATTCAAGAACCTTTCTCTGTACCTTTGTGCCTGGCCTGTCATGACAAAAAGAAATTCTTCACTCTTCATTTCCTACAATGCCTTTATTGAAAAAGAGTCCAAGTTAAAAATAATATAGATTAGTTGTTTGATCCTTTTGCTTCTCTTGTCAATAGCTTACACTTTTAATTCAATGCTTCCAGTCAGTATTTAAGAGGAAAATGTAACGTCTGTGAGAACTTTTTAAAAGACCCCTGTGGAAGTCCCACACACAGAAATCCATTTGGTAATAGCATTTAAAAGCTTGTGGCTCCCCCAGGACCCTAGTAACGTTTACCTTGAATATCCTTTTGAACAGAGGAGAGGAACAGATGTGAAATGAGGAAGCAGAACAATGTCCGTACTGTAAGAGCCGACTAGTAAAATGATGTATGGGTTGCTTTCATCCACTCGTTTCATTCAAGTGCAGTGAACCCCGGAGTGAAAGGCTTCTGTAGCCCATCTTGTCAGCAATTTCTATATTGAGAATTTGATCCATGTGTCTCTGCTATTTCAGGTTCACAGTCCAACTCCATACCTCTGCCGATCTGACGGAACCGCTGCTGCCTACTTTCCTCCTGTTTTTACAAAGGTCTGACATCTGGAAGTCTCATTCTCTGTGTTTGGTTTGATCCTGCAGTTTTGCTCACATGTGACTTGGTGCAGCAGTCTTCAAAATTTCAAAAGGACGGATTGGGAGGCTTGTGCTCAGGGACACTTTTGGGGGCTCAGTATATAGTCGTTGAACAGATGCTGTGTGAGTCTCCTGCTGTGAAGGGTATGGGAGGTGTGGGTGTGTGAGCAGGGACCCAAACGAGCTTAAAATCTAGTACACAAGCCAAGACTGGTAGCAAAAGTTAAGAGGCAATATTATGTGAAGAATGTTCTTGGTTTTTTTTTTTTTTTTTTTGCTTCTCAGCGATATCTTGACAGATTAAGCAAGCTTTATAGAATTTTCCAAAAATAGACTCATTTTCAGTTGCCCTAAGATAGCAACTTGCATCACCAGGTTAAATGACATCCCTTTCATTGGTTGCCTGGTAAAATCAGAAATGGTCCCTGGTAGCGTTTCTTTCTTTTTCTTTTTTCCCTCAAATTATAAAACTATATTGAACGACAGACCCAAATAAATGGACAAATATGTCTTGCCTAGCAACTGAAAGACTAAAAGGCAGATATGACTTCATGATTGACCTGCTTTTTGCAAATGTAAGCTGAAACTTTAGCAGGTTGCTTGTTTCCACTTCTTTATTTGATACAGAATTTGGCAACCTGACTTTACAAGTTGTGTGGAAGAAAAGAATGACCAAGAAAAGCCAGGATGGGAGTGGGCATTTGGCCTGGTGGTTACAATGACCTTGTCCCACCCTGGAGCATCCAGGTTGGATACCCAGCTCAGGTTCCAGCTTCCTGCAAGCACAGTGCCAGGAAGCGGTGACAGTGGCTGAAGTTCTTGACTTCCTGCCACCCACATAACCTAGAGTAAGTTCCCAGTTCCTGGCGTTAGCCCAGCTCTGGCTTTTCCAAGCATCTGGGAAATGAAGAGTGCATGAGATTTTTGTCTGTTTGTCTCCCTGCCTCTTGAATTGCAAAGATAAAAAATAAGAGTCAGGATAATCGTGAAGAAAAAGTTAGGACGTCATGGTAGGGCAGGAGTGGGATTTGTCCTCTGAGATAGGAAATCTCTCCAGCAGTGTAGTAATTAGGAAAGGGTGCTGACACTGGATTAGAAAACCTGGTGGGAGAGTGATTACAACAGAGCCCAGAAAAAGACCCCAGCACCTATAGAAACTCGCAGGTTCCTGGAAAAGAGATGAATCCTTTTCAGTGGTGAATAGATATTAACTCAGACTCCTACCTCATACTTTTCACACCCCCAAAGAATCAGTAAACTGAAAAACAAATGTGAAAACACATCCATGAAACCTTGATGAAATGATACAGAAAACCATCTTCATTATCTTTTTTTCTGAACTGTGATTTCTTCCTCTCCTAAGCAGGTCTGAATTCAAACTTCATTAACGATCTTGGTATAAGCCGTTGTGGGATTTGATCAGTCGCAAAGGACAGGAGACAGCAGTGCTGGAACTCCACTCCTAGACAGAGTAGCAAAGCTAAATGTCCTGAAACCCCCTACCAAAAGCTGCACATCCCTGGACTGCCCAATGATTGCTTCCCTGGAGGCGTACAACAGGAGCTGAGTATAGAGCAGTCAGCTTTGTTCATGTTTATGTAGTTGAAGAGCTTTTCCCAAGCAGGTTCTCAAGGGGTTAGAAGGTGCCAGGGCCCAATGTGTTCCTTGACTTAACTACTTGAAGTCCCTACTGATGGTGTAAGGGGCTACGGAATTTCAGTTGACTCCCCTCAACCCCTCATCACCACCACCACCATGCTCCACTCTGGTGGCCTAGAGTGTGTAATAATCTAGATAGAGAACTCTGTTTCTCCCTTGCATTCCAGCTTTGAGACGTAGATTCTACAAGTGGCCCTTCTCCCTACCTCTCCCCGCCGCCCAGAAAAAACCCATGTAGCATTGTGAGCACTTTTTTGTGCTAGTTGGATGGCTTATATGAGAAGCAAAACAAAATTCTGTATTAGGACAGAGGTTCATCATTACAAAATGCAGTTTTAAGTTTCTGGAAGCAGAGCACACATCCTTGGGAAACTGCAAGTCTCTAATTTCTGTGTCTGGATTAAAGCCTTCCTCTTTTTTCTAAAATTGTTCCCTTTTCAACTTGCACCTGCTTTTTCCTTTTCCTTTGGGCAGTTTATTTTCTGCCCTGCTGTGCTGAGTCCTCTTCATGTCTGGGATCAGGCTTTAGCAGATTTTGGAATTACTGCTGCTGATCCTTATGTGTAACTTCAACTGACCTTCACCTTGTCTTCCTTAGCACCTTCTTTGATCTTTCTCTGTGGCATGATGGTGACAGTGGATGGCCATTGGGCTTTGCCAGGACAAGGGTGCCCCCATTCATTTCCTCCCACTCTTCTGGATGAGATGCTCAGGGCTTCTGCCTGCAGGCCAGTCAGCAGAGTGGTGAGCATGGCTCAGGCAACAGAGCTGGTATGAACTATGGGTTGGAGAGTTGGGAATGCAAGATGGCCAGGAGAGAGTGACTCCCATATGGCTTCTCTTTCCAAATAGTAAGAATCCTCCAAGAAATCATGGTATCTGGTAGAGTTGAAGCATGATGGGAGATGCTACTGAAACAACCCCCCAAACCACAAATCTTATGAAGTGGTAATCCTCATTACCAAGTACAACTTCTGACGAATGACTCTCCGTCTTCTTTGGGGCTACTTGATACATTCTTGAAGGATCTCTTAATGGCTTACTGTTTAGCCATGGCTATATATGTATAAAATATCCGTGTATAGTTTGTTTTCAATTGGCATTTCAGTGCGTATACACAATATGCAATGCTCAGTTCAGAGAAGTTGGTGTAATTATCAACTCATCATTCATCATTCCTTTTGTTGAAAACATTCAGAATCCTTTCTACTAGTTATCTTGAAACAGGGAATTAATTCTAACCACCAGAGTTTCTCTGCTGTGCTATGAAGAGTCTTCCTATCCAATTGCATCCTGTACCTGTTAACCATCTTTTCTCCATGTATGCCACACCCACACCTTTCCAAGCTCTGATGGCCACTGTTCTGTGCCTAATTTCCCTTAGTGTCATGGCCTCCATTTTCATCCATACTGCTGCAAATGCCAAGATTTCATTCAGTCACAACAAATAAATAATATTCCATTGTATATAGTTGACACATTTTAAAAATGTGTTTGTCCATTGGTGGGCCCTAGTTCATTTCATATCTTTGCTATCAAGAACATGGCTACTGTACACAGGAGAGTGAAGATAACTCTTTTCCTTTATAGCTCATTTTCCGATAGCTCTTTTCCTATAGCTCATTTCCTTTGAGTATATACCCAAGTAGGAGACTGCTGGATCATACAATTGTTCTTGGGTTTGAGGATCCTCTGTGCTGTTTTCCACAATGGCTATACTAATTCTCATTGGCACCAACAGTGAATGAGAGTTCCTCTTTCTTTGCATCCCGTGCCAGCATTTGTTATTACTTTGTGTATGGTAATAACCATTCTGACAGGTGTGAGATGATATCTTATTCTGGTTTTGATATGCATTTCCATGATGATTTGTGATGTTGAGTATTTTTTCAAATTCTTGTTCAGCTATATATTTTGGCAAGATTAAAAAAGCAAGTTCCAAGAGGAACAAAATTGAAACTCTGGATAACTATGCAGTTTTGACTGCCTAAGTTCCTTGACATTGTTCCATTTGTATATCACTCCCCAAGTGGCCACAATGGCCTGAGTTGAGCTGGTACAAAGCCAGGAGCCTCTTCCAGGTCTCCTGTGCAAATGTAGGGTCCCAAGGCCTTTGGCTATCCTCTGCTGCTTTCCCAGGCCACAAACTGCATGGGAAGTGGAACAACCGGAACACAGTCCAGCACCAATATGGAATGCCAACAATTGCAGGTGGAAGAATAACCAGTTGATCCATTGTACTATTCTTCCCCTACTTTTAAAAAAATATTGTTTTCTGTGATACATTTTGTAGGTATAAGGATTTCCTGCTTTCTCTCTCCTTTCTCCCTTCCGAATTTCCCCGCCCACCATTTTGCCCCGTATCATTACAGTTGTATAGTCCTTTGGCAACAATTACAAGTTTAACATTCTGCTTTTTCAGTGCATATCATGACACTGTAGATTTAGTCAAAAGTAGGAATTTCAATATCATATTAACATGGTATATTTAACTGTTTCACTAGGAGTCCTCCTTTTATTTGGGAGTTGAAATGCCTACTGCAGTGTATCTTCCCTTCCTGTCATGCTAGTCTCCATTATATAGTTCATCTATGAGAATATGTATATACCTGTCCATCTGTACATCTATTTATTTTTTGTTTTGCATGAATGTTGTCTTATACAAGAGAGAACATAAGGTATTTGTCCTTTTGGGATTGATTTATTTCACTGAGCATAATAGTCTCCAGTTAGAACCATTTTGTTGCAAATGGTACAATTTCATTCTTTTCATAGCTGTACAGTATTCCATGGAATAGATATACCACAGTGTATTTATCCATTTTTCTTTTCAATGAGCATCTGGGTTGTTTCTATGTTTTCACTATTGTGGATTGTGCTGCTATAATTACAGGGTTGTAGGTCACTTTCTCATATGCAGTACCTTTAGATATATTCCCAGGAGTAGGATCGCTGAAAGCCCCCATATTCTGAATGTGAATGTGTTTGCTTTTGGTAAATAGGTAGGTAAAGTACTTGGTTATGTATGAATTATTTCAACACTTTACTAGATCTAGTACTGTGTATGTATAAATAAAAAGTGTATGTAGTTCAAACAGTTCTCATTTCAAGGGCATCCTGGAGGAGGAAGGGAGGGGGAAAGCATATATCTGGGAACTATTAATGTCTTACTATTTAATAACTTGTGTAAAGGCTTTACCTCTTAGTAATGCCAAATTAATTTATAATCTGTTGCATTGTAAAAATTTATTGGTCTGGTGTTGGAGAGGAGACTGAAGCAATAAGGGCAGTAGCAAGCAAGAAGGAAATGAAACTTCAGAAGGAAGAAGTGTGACAGGTTTTATTATTGTACTCAGAATCTCAAAATGAGAAAATACCAAAACCTCTTGGCTAAATAAACTTGACCCAGCAAGCCACGCAGGTAGAGGTGGTGGAGGAGTACAGGAAAGAGTGAAAAGTATGTGAAAATAAATGTTTTCCTTTTTTTTCTTTTCTTGTCTGGTTTCCATTTGGAGTATAGTAATTGTAGGGAAGTCATGTATTGTCCGTTTATTCTGAAATGTAGATAAAGGTAACCGTTGGCAGGGTTAAATTCCTTCAGTGTAAAAAGGTCGGTGCAAATTTGAAGGCACGCCCACACGTTCTTCAGGGTTTATGGTAAACCTCCCTAATTGGATGACACAGGGATTATAAAAAGCAGATGATCCATGGATTTCAAGGTGTTTATTCTTACCTGAGTCAGTGGTAATTACATTATGATGCAAGGGGGGTTTTTTTTTGGGGGGGGAGGGTTGTTTTTGTCTAAGGATTGGCATTTCTATTCTCTCTTGTGAAACTGCTTAGGAATGCACCCAAGTCTGACAGAAAGTGTTTGCCTTGGTTTTCCAGGAGCTGCAAAACACGGCAGCATCTGAGGGCCAAGTGGTGGTCTTGGAGTGTCGGGTCCGGGGGGCACCCCCTCTGCAGGTCCAGTGGTTCCGCCAAGGGAGTGAAATCCAGGACTCACCAGATTTCAGGATTCTGCAGAAAAGTAAGGGGAGGGGTCCCCGCTCCCAAATCCAACCATGTGATTCCCTCTCACTTCAGGGAGACCAAGAAAGGCTAAGGCCTTCACACGAGGGCGTTTCTATTGTACAAGCAATGAGACCATACAGTCAGTGGGCAGCAGACCCCACTGTGGCCCATTGGAAAGTGATGAAAGTTACTATTTTTTCTTCAGAAAGATGTATAGCATTGTACTCAGAGCTGTGTGCATCATTTTAGAGTGTTCACCAGCCTCTCTTTCCTCTGTGAACTGTGTTTTAAAGAACTACTCAGTATATTACTAGAATTCAAGTATCTATATAAATATAAATTGTCCAATGGCTTGAACTATGTCTCGTGTGTTCTAGAGTCTGTCCAACATTTGTGTAGAATTGTCCCAGACAAGGACATAGAAAAGGATAGATGGCTTTATTATTAATGAGAATCACATTCTAATACTTTGTTCTGATTTATTCTTTTCCTTATGTGACCAACAGAACCTAGATCTACAGCTGAACCCGGTAAGAATAATCTCTCTCATTTGTTTTTGGTGGTGGGTGGGGAGCAGTTAATGTATCTTCAGGACATCAATCACTCTTTGTCCCTGCTTTAGAGCCATAAGTAGAGCAAGCAGTTTGGCAGTCCCCTGGAAACGTGAAGCCCTCTTAAGGACAATATCTTCTTTATCTTGAAGTCTGTACAGCGCACTTTGCATCAGCTTCTTTATTAGTGAGATGTTCATTTCTATTCCGATAACGAGGTCACATGCTCAGTATATAAAGACTTTCTAAAATATGTTCTTTCATACTCAAAGGGTGATCTATCCCAAGGAGGAAACAACATCCTCCTCAAACTGCAGCAAGCATGAACAATTTGCTGCATGTGTCCAGTGACCAAAGCCAAACACCAGCAAGACTGCCCAGTTCAGAAATGTCTCTCCTGAGCACAGCCTGAAGATGTAAGAGAAGCCCACCCCCAGTGATTCTTACTCAAGTGCTCTGAGCTATAAACTTTTCCTGTTCTCCTTGTCTGAGGAGGATCATCTCACCTTAGGATCTCCATGAATGACCAGGTCAGGGTACTATGTATTTCAGAAAACCCGTGTCCACTGTTCCTTCAGCTGAGACTTCTTCAAATTTGTGACCCCTGGTAGACTGAAACAGTGTGTGTAAAGGAAACAGAAACTATCTTTTCTGAGGATTTCATAGAACATCCTCTCAAGACCATTTTCTGCTGTGGATTTCCCACCTGCAGAATCACAGCTGCACTATATACCTAGTAAGTTCCCATTGCTGCCATGTGTGTATCAGACCTTTCCTGCCACAGGTGTCAGCACAGCTCTGTGCTGGCCTTGCTGCCCTTCTTTGGGAACTTGAGGGATCTGTGTGGGCCACTGCAGCTCAGATGGCTGTGCTCAATTCTGAACCTCTCACATCTGGGCATGTTGGGTCCTTCTAAGCAGAATATGATCCTGCTAGGCTGCAGGGTCCGAGATGCTGCTGAGCAGCATTGTTAGGAAACAGCTGGAATTGTTCTGTGGCCACCTTGCCAAGGGTAACAACTAGATTGTGTCACCTGCTTAGTGCATCACTCTCCACATCTAACACTGTCCCATTCCTGACTGTGGATGCACACACCTTCACATCTTGTTTACAATGAGTTATTTTTTTAGGATTTATTTTTCAAGTTAGATAAACAGAAAGAGACCTTTCATCTGCTGGTTCACTCTGCAAATGGCCACAGTGACCAGCAGTGGGCCAGGCCAAAGCCACGAGTTTCATTTGGGCCTCCCACATGGGTGTTAGGGATCTATCCCAGGCCATTATCACAAAGCTGGGTTCAAAGTAGAACACAATCTGGTAACAATATGGAACGCCAACATCACATGTGTGGGGCTTTGCCAACCCATGGTAACACCAGCCCTTTATTTACTATCTTAAAGAGAACTGGAAAAATAGATAGATGATGGATATAGAGATAGAACTAGATCTTTATCTTTAAGAAATACTGTATTATATGAAATAAATCTGTAAAACATTTCTTTTATTGCTTTATATACAAATATTTCTAAAATTATGCCCAAAATGATAAGAACATTAATGGTGGGTTGAATTCAGACCACTTGTGCTATTACATTCTTAGATGCTAAATGAATACATGCAACTCTCTTTTTCATCATGTTGTTGTCCTTGTCATCCTCTGAGTAGGTGACGATGGTTTCCTCAATGTCTCCAAAAACATCCATTTACATTGGAGTGTGTGTGTGAGAGAGAGAGTGAGTGAATGAGAGAGAGAGAGAGAGAGAGAGAGAGAGAGAGAGAGAGAGATGGAAACAGAATGTACTGGCTAATAGGAATACATTTGAATGAGGAAGCAGAATGCCAGCGTCTCCTGCCTGCCCTCTGGCCCTGACCCCCATCCTATACTTACTCCTTCCGACTCAGGATGGGCTGTTTTCCTTCTAGATTACAAAGGGGGAGGGGCATCATAAATTATTTGACAGAAGTAGTCCTAACAGCTCCGTACTAACATCTGGCTACATAGACACCTGATCCCTAGGACCGACTTCAATGCTTTGTGTGGTTGAACATAGCAAAATTAGAACAAGGAATGGAAGGCATTCCTTTTAATTTCCATGTGCTGGCAATGGATGAACTTTTTTTAAAAAAAAAATTCTTTTCCACATTTACTGGCTTTTCAACTTTATTTTCACTTTAATTAAGTTTGAAAGCATTTAAGAAAATTCTTCCATACCAGCCACAATAATGGCATTTGCTAAAAATCAGTATTTCTTGGCAGAAAAGTATTGCAGGTTAACCTGTGACTAATACACATGTGTAGTATATATATGTACTCAAGAGCTAGTCAAATGCAGCAGATTGTCCCTGACATCTGACCTCTGCTCTGCGATTGGATTGTCCCTGACATCTGACCTCTGCTCTGCGATTGGATTGTCCCTGACATCTGACCTCTGCTCTGCGATTGGATTCACCCTGACTCTTCTAGAAGAGCATCTCTTTCCTTACAATGCCATGCTTCAGAAATCTGCGCTTGGCATGTAGCATGACATAAGCTCTTTGATCATACTTTTAAAACAAACTAAAATCTTAAACATATGAGTAACTACTTGAGTTATTAGAAAGAATTTCCAAACAGGGAAGTGTTTTAACATACTTGTATTTAGACCATCACTTGACACACCTGACAAAGGAGGTATTCTTTTAGTGGTTGCCAGATAGGTTAGTTACTTTGACTTTGAAGTTGCTGTGTCAGAGGGAAAACCTCAAAAAGATGTAAGACTACTTCCTTGCCCTTAAGGGCTTAATTATTGTGCATATCTAATGGACCCCTGACCTGTTGAGCCATGGAGAATGTGTGTGGGCACCAGTCTCCCTGAGAGATTGATGTTAGCCACTGGTGAGGGGAAAGGAGAAAGCCAGGCATGACCACCATGTATCTGAGGCCCAAAATGAATTTTATGGCACTTGGCCAGTGATATTTTTCAAACTCTAAGACATAAATTAGACTTCGAAATTCAGGAAAATATTTAGCATTCAGATTTTATTACTCTCTCTCTCTGCTTCTTTCTTTGCCTCTCTGATGTAACTTGCTCTCTCTGCAGTCACTGGCTCCTGCTCTTTCTTTCTCTCCAACAACCTGCTGCTATTTCCTTTCCTGCTTTTTAATTCCTTTGTTCTTTAAAAAAAACAACATTTATTTACTTGAAAGGCAGTGGGAGAGGAAGAGAGAACTTGCATCACTGATTGATTCTCCTGAGTTAGCCAGGGCTGTGCTAGGCTGAAGGCAGAAGTCAGGAGTTCTATCCAGGTCTTCCCCATAGATAGCAGGAAACCATGTACTTGGACCATCACCTGCCATCTCCCAGGAACATGAGCAAGAATCTGAATCTGAAGTAGAGCAGTCAGGACTTGAGCCAGCACTCTCTCATGGAATGTGTACATCCCAAACTGCAGGCGAACACACTCTGCACCACAACACCCACCCACTCCCATTCCTTTTACTATCTGTTCTCTGTCCTTTCTCCCTCACACCTCAGGGAAGTGAAAAGGCCAATTTAAGAAGAAAATACCAACTGAGACAGGGCCATGCTTCATGGTAGAAGGAGCCCAAGTGGTGGGCAAGACCAAGATAGAGACAACAGCAGAGTACAGCATCCATGGGAGCAAGTTCATGAACAAAGCACTCAGGAAAGAAAGACTGGTTGTGCTTAGGCCTAGGGCAGTGGTGGTACCTGTCAAGGCATTCCTCCCACCTGTGGCCATTCCTTCCGAGTGCCCAGCTGGTCCTCAGCCTAGTGCCACAGTTTCTGCTGCAGCACCTGGTGCGGGAACAACCACAGCCAGAGTGAATGAGCTGGGGCTGAAGGCCTGGAACTTCCTGAGAATAAAATGAAAGAAGAGTGGCTCTGCAGACCCTGTTTACCCACCCACCTAGCCCTGAGAAGGACTCTCCTCATCAGCAGAGGAAGAGCCTGTATGCAGCAAGGACATGTTGGGTGAGGCTCCTGGGCATGCCTTCTGGTTCCAGAATGTGCAGGAGTTCACAGCAAGATGACCACAAGGGGATGTGTATGCTGACTCCATTAGAGCTAGGGATGTGAGGCAAGTCACCCAGTGTCCTCTCTCCCCTCCATCAGGTGGCTCTTGGGTGTTAGCACAGGATGGCAAAGGTTCTGGGTGTTGACATGCTGCTATGTCATGGCGCATTAGAGGCATAACCTCAGAACCAGAGCCAGGCCTCATGACTGGTCTGCTCCAGACAACTCCAGCTGACTCCAGCTTAGCAGGTCAGAAACCATGATAGTTTCAGACACAGCCCAACTGCAGAATCATCCTGGGGAATGGTAACTGGCCCAGTGACTTTTGGTCCTTGGGTGACAGTCAACACTGAACCTGTACCTCAGAGAGAAATATAGGACAAGGACCCTAGTAGGGAGCCCTTCCCATTCACAGAAACAAACAATCCAGTAGCACAAACTTGCTGTCACCCCCTGTGACTCACTGACTCATGACCTTAAATCCAACAGAAGTTCTGCTGAAAGAGCTTGTTCAGTTGCTTAGGGTAGAGCAAGGTTAAGCAGACAAGATTTCCATGGGGGCAATGGCCTAGCTTCCACCTGCAACTGGGAGAGGAAAGACAGCCACATGAGTGCCATGGGGCAACGGCCTAGCTTCCACCTGCAACTGGGAGAGGAAACACAGCCACATGAGTGTCATGGGGCAAAGCACAGGGGGCCAGACTGACAGATGGGGAAACCAAGTCTCGGTTCCCTTAACACAGGTGCCTGTACATGTAGGTGCAGGCTTTGCGGCTGGGGCCTTGGTGAGTCACATCCGGAGACAGGGCACTGAGCAGCAGTCCAGGTCACACCCTGTGACACAGCAGAAGCCCAGACTGATCTTGAAGGAGATCTGGGGGTCAAGGGGTGCTGGCAGATCCTCACTGTTCTAACTCATGGCAAGACTTGGATAGTGTATTTGTTAATGAATACATAATAATT